CCTTTGTTGCCAAATACTGTTACAAAGTATAAAAGATTCCATTGATGTTTTAAAAACGTCTTTCGCTGCGACTGACTCACAGTTGACGCCACGCTGCGACTTTTGTCTTCCTTTTTCTGTTGATGCTGTTTTGTATCGTTTGAACGTAGAACTTGTTTTTTTATTTTTTCTATGGTGGAAAAAAAGTTTTGGCTTTGTGTTTTATTATTGATGCTTTTTAGTGTTGTTGTCGTCTGTGTTGGTTCGTGGTCAACAATCAAACCTTTAACGTTTGGCTTGATGCGTCCACCAGGGGCAGTAATCTGGTCCAGTGCTGGTTCGTCCAACCTGTCGTCACAGATTTACGTCGTGCTCAATCTCTGACCTTTCAGTTTTGCCAAATCTGCAAAAGACGCTCCCACATTTCTCTCCCCCTCAGCTCCCCCTCCCCCTCCTCCCCCTCCCACCTGACGTCTCACTTCATCTTAACTCTCCAGAGTCTTTCCTTCACATTAAACGCTTCCCGACGTCTGCCCACTGTGTTGTGTTGTCGTGTCAGACACGTCTTTTCTTCTCCTTTGTGTCTGTTAAAATTCACATTGATCTTGTTGGAATGTCGAGCTCCGCTCTTAGAAGTTCTGTGGAAGAGTTCTGTTTTTGGCAGTCCTTTTCATGTTACACTCTGGTAGCATGTTGACTGGCAGCTTTGACAAACTCCTCAGACTCTGGGGTAAAAATAGAAACCACTTGTTCTTGGAGTCGCTGCAGTTTTTTTTTTTTTTTTTTTTCCTTACAGGAGTATTTAAAGAACGGCAACGTAACGTTTTATTACTTCTTTCACATTCACCACAATCTGTCTATTCATCACTCTCCCTACCTCGCCCCCCCACCATCCCCGCCTCCCCCCTTACCTTCTATGTATATGACTGTGGCAGTTAAAGCCGTGACGGGGCGGAGTCTCTCCTCCCTGTTCTGCTGACCCAATTACTCTAAGTTGTCCCTCCCTGGTTGGACGCGGCGTTGTCCCTCCCTGGAGACTCAGCCTGCAGCTCACAAATGATCCATCACTCTCCGCTGCCACCTCCCTCTCAGCACATTTATTACCGTCTCTCCTTCACACACACACACACACACACACACACAGTTAGAACCTCACACCCTCCTCGTCCCCTCACTCGCCCTCAGGACAGAGGCGTACATCAATGAAAACATGTCTCTGTAAATATGCATAAAAAAAAGTCATTTACATGCATTAGTACACACACACACACACACACAGAGAGAGAGAGAGAGAGAGAGAGAGAGAGAGAGAGAGAACACAGATACCGGTGGGCGACACATGTTGACAATTATTTTCTTTTTGTTCTGACGCCTCATCACACCTCCGCTCCTTGTTGCTATAATCCTGTCAGCACTGGGGTTTGTTTTTTTTTTCTTCTACAATCATGTCATTAGGGTTTGACAAAGAGAGACAGCATCCTAAAGGCACAGTGCAACCGTTTATTTACAGAAATCGCTCTCCGTTGCTGCAGCTACAGGGGCTTTATTAAGAAAAAAAAATGAAATAAAAGAAGTTAAAAATGTCACAAGTGAAGAGTCGAATAGTTTTTAAAGAAAAACATTTCTCTGTTGTTGGTATTCTCACCTCCAAGGTTCAGAGGCCTCTCCGTGATGACATCACTGATGACATCACGAGGCCCGTGCGTGCCTGACGGCTGCAGCTCTGCAGAAACAAATGAAACCTGGTTGCTCTGATGAATGAGCGGAACAAGTCCTCCATGTAGAGGAGGTTTTAAATGAATAATGGAAACTATTAGTACTGGCGTCTGTGAGACGTGTAGCCATTAATACATGTACAGCTGATGTGGAGCTTTTTTTTTTTTTTTTTTTTTCCCCCCCAAAAATAGTTAAGTAATTACACCAGGGTTTTCAGGTCGCTGCTTATTATTAAGATTTTTTTTAGACCAGATTTCAGCCTCTTATCTTTATGTGCACCAGTGGAGACCCCCACCTGACAGACCCTGGAACTGAGGCCATTCACACCTGTCCAGAGGTTTCATTTACCTGATGACGACTTAAGGTCACAACCCAACTTTTTCTTTTTTTTTTTTTTTTTTTTTTTTTAAGCTTCCTGATAATAGCTGCATCAGGCTGGAAAATTTCAGACTCAAACTTTTGAATCCTGGTTAACCTCCTGGTTAACCTCCTGGTTTACCTCCTGGTTAACCTCCTGGTTAACCTCCTGGTTTACCTCCTGGTTAACCTCCTGGAGTTAACCTCCTGGAGTTATCCTCCTGGAGTTACCCTCCTGGAGTTAACCTCCTGTTTAACCTCCTGGAGTTAACCTCCTGTTTAACCTCCTGGAGTTATGGAGTTAACTCCGTCCTTGACCATCTTCATTCATCCTCTCCATTTTTCCTCCTGGATCTACGTGTTCTAGCTCTACGTGCTGCGCTGACATGACTGGTTCGACCTCAGTCTGTGTTGAATCAACCGTGGCGTTAAAGACAGAGATAAACCAGCAATTAGGCCCCGCGTTTAGAGCAGAAATGAAAAAAAAAATGAAGAGTACGAGATAAGAGGAGAGGGAGACGAGAGAGAGAGGTATTATAGCAGTTCTCTGCTTTGTTTAATTAAATCTTAGGGAATTATTGATCAGTTCTCTGTCAAAAAGCTATTGTTCTGATGGAATAATCTCTGCTAAGCTGCTCACACACACACACACACACACACGCAGAGGGAGTGTGGAGAGCAACAGACGGATATTTGACAGTTTGTGGATGTTTTCCTCTGTCTTC